CAATTCCCTTACTGTTGGTAGAATTCATAGTATCTTATTCTAAAAATTAAACATCAATTATCATTTTCCAATCATATTGCTGAAATTAAGTTGAGTAGAACACATAAAGAATGACAATTATGTCTATAAAGTAAAATTAATGAATATGTAAATACGGACAATGTTTGAAACATATGTTGATTACCATAGCCAAGAGAGAAGAAGGATTCTGTCATCAGTAGTTATTAGTGTTTGTGGTTGTAGTAAGAAAACAATTCCTCCATGAAAATGTTCACTTCTTTTTTGTATTATGTTATAGTTATTGAACAGCAATTTAGTATTTCTAGTTACTTTAATAATTTATCTATTAAGTTTATTTTATTAGGATCTATGTGGCAGTTCATTTGTGTATAAATAATCTAGTTGTAGATGTCATAAATACAACATTATTCATTATAGCTTTACGACCGTCATTCTCTTTGCTCTCATAAATATATTATTTTTGTTCATCATCATCTTGTGCACCAACAAATTGGTATCTAGAACGGTTCTGATTCATGGAAAAATACGAAAAACACGAGTGAAACGGTGAGGCGTTGTGTGATTGATTTTGGTTTTTGAATTCGTGTTAAATCTTGTATAAAAATCAGAACAGAATCACATTTTTTCTGATTCAGTGGGCTTGAGAAACACTGTGTTTAGTGAGATCTGAGTGTTTTGTACAAGGTTGAAAATGAACGGAAATAGTAGTCTGAGTAGATGGCAAAAATTGGAATAGATGGATGATTCAGAGGCATGTGTTATTCGGTGCTCAGGATGCTCTTGAGCTTGTTACCGATGACTATGTTCCAATTGCAGTAGATGCGGTGGAAGAAGAGAGAAATGAGCAAAGAGATAAAAGGAAGAAAGATAAAAAAAACATTGTTCTACATCCATCAGTGTGTGGATGCGAATGTGTTTGAGAAAATTGTTGATTCGACGATGGCGAAGGAGGCATGAGACACACTGGTAAGATGTTACAGTGGTGACGCATCAGTAAAGAAGGTGAAGCTTCGGTCCCTGTGAAAACAATATGAGAATCTCAACATGAAGAAAAATGAGAAGGTTTCTGAGCACATCTCTAGAGTGATTCTGATCACTAATGAGATGAAAGCTTGTGGATAAATCATTTCTGAACAAGTAATCATTGAAAAGATATTAAACTCGCTTACTCCTCAATTTGATTACATTGTTGTAGCAATTAAATATTCTAAAGATATGGACACCATGAGAATAGAAGAGTTGCAAAGCAGTCTAGAGGCGCAAGAGTTGCATTTGACTGAAAGAACTTCTGAGATGGAAGTTGAGCAGGCTATGAAGGCTTCTTTTATCAAGAAGGACCAGAAACATTCTTGGTCAGAAACCAAGAATGGACGTGGTGATAGATTCCAGAATTCAGAAACCTCTACTTCTGATGAGAAGAAACATCAGAAAAGAAATGAGAAGTTTGACAAGAAGAAGGTTCAATGTGACTGTTGTAAATAATTTGGCCATTTTGCTAAAGATTGTTGGTCAAATAAGGAAGAAAATCAGAAGAAGCAAATATAGACATAGGAGATTTTGATGATGAACATGTGCTATTGATGGTTTCTGAGTCTGATGAAAAGTGTTTGGCAAACTGGTGGTATATGGACATTGGTTGTTCAAATCACTTGACTGAAAAGAAACAATGGCTGATAAGTTTTGACTCCTGAAGAAGGACAAAAATCAGATGTGTTGATGATAAATACCTTAATGCAAAAAGTATGAGAAATGTCAAAGTTAAAGTGAAGAATGGAAAGACTGTTTTGATCAAGGATGTTTAGTATGTTCCTGGAATTAAGAGCAATCTGATGAGTCTGGGTCAGCTCATTGAGAAAAGTTTCTCAGTTATTATGAAGAATAATCTTTTAAGGTTGTATGATTCTAATTAGAAGCTGATTATGCAATATGAGCAGGGAAGCAACTGAATATTCAAGGTGAATATAGAAACAACTGAAACAAAGTGTCTTAGTGCAGAAGGCACTGGAGGGGATAGTAAGTTAAGGCACAAGAGGTTGGGAGATCTGAACTATAGGAGTTTAGGGTATCTGAGTTCTAAGAAGCTCGTGTGTGGCATTCCAAAGATTGTGAAGCCTGAGAAGTCATGTGAGGTATGCATGAAAGACAAGCAACCCAAATTGCCATTTGTGTCAGAAGTAGTCCAAGAGAAAAACATGCTTTAGAAGTAGTGCATTCTGACGTGTGTGGACCATTTCCAGAACCTTCGCTTGAAGGAAATAGGTATTTTGTGTCTTTTGTGGATGAGTTCATAAGAATAATGTGGGTAACACTCATAATGTTTAAACATGAGGAGTTTATCGAGTTCCATAAGTTCAAGGTGAAGGATGAGAAACAAAGTGGTCAGAAGTTAAAGATTCTCAGAACTGATGGTGGAGGTGAGTTTAACTCTATAGAATTCCAGAAGTTCTGTAAGGAAAATGGAATTTAGCACAAGGATACTGCTCCTTATACTCCCCCAACACAATGGTTTTGCTGAAATAGAAATCGTACTTGGTTTGATATAACGAGAAGCATGCTAAAAGAGAAAAAACTGCCTCATACCTTGTTGGGAGAAGTTGTGGCCACTTCATCGTATGTGCTCAAAAGGTGTCCAACTAAGAAGCTGAAGGAAATTGTTCCTTTAGAAAAGTGGACTAGAGACAAGTAAAGTGTTAGTCATCTGAAGGTGTTTGGTTTTGTATGTTACTGTAATACGGTGGGAGAACTGACTTTACTGGTTTTGTATTTTATTGCAAATGTTGCAGTTAGCAAGAGTCGCCACCGACTTTTCTTTTATCCAATAAAGGAAAGGGTGAAAAGAACAGGAAAGACCTTTCGAGAATTTTTCTGAGTAAGGGGGATAGGTTATGGAAAGGGAAGGTGTTAGCACCCTTTCCATCCGTAGTTATCTATGGGCTCTTAGTTGCTAGCTTACTTTTGAAAATGCTTTGTGTTTGTGTATTTTGAAAATATCTTTGAAAAGACTCCTTAGTGCGGCGAACTTTGTAATGTTTCTCGTATCGTTGAGAACGTATACAAAGTATTTTGTCTTTGAAAATATTTAGAAAAAGAGTTGTGTATGTGTGAAAAATTGTTTTGTTTGTTTTTTTTGAGCAAGCAACTATGAACTATCTACCTACTCGAACGGTTTTTGTTCTTTTCCTCTTTTCCTTTAGACAGTGCTATCCTACTATTAGTCAGTAGGTAGCCTTATCGTTGGATGTTTTGAGGGACAAGCGAGGGTCATCGTACAGTCACGAAGGCAACTCGTAAGATACTTTAGTAATTATCCTAAGGTTTTAAGATCATTTATCGAGACAACATCGAAAGGGTCATCGAGGAACTTATGATCTTATAACCAAAGGGTCACTGCTAAAATCTCTTACGTTCGAGAGACGTAACTGTTTATTCCGAAGGCAACAAGTGGAGGTACCTTAGAGGTGCAAGTGTGAGAGTGTGTTGTGTTTCAATTATTTGTCTTGAAATTAAGTTATCTAGCGTTTGCTTTTAGTCTTTTTATACAAGCCTATTAGCATACATCTAACAGTTAAATATATACAAGTGAGGAAAATAAAATGCGGAAAATAATCTACGCTATTACATCGCTTCAGGATGGGGGGAATTACAAACCAAAAATGAGAAAAATAAAAAGTAAAAGATCCTAATTTAAACTATTACATCCCTTGTACAATTACATAATTTTATGAAAATAATACGAATAAAAATAAATGAACGCGCGGAGGAGTAAGAAAGAAAGATGTAAAGAACCTTAAGAATCTAAGTGGAAGAAAATGTTTTTTTTGTTGTTCTTAATTTTTGTTTAGAAAAATAATTAAATTATGAGAACCTAATTTTAATTAGTTAATTAATTAAAAAAGGTGATTAAATGATTGATTAATTTAATTAATAAAAACTTAAATCTATTATTTTTGTAATTTTCTAATTTTATGATTATTTATGATTTTTTAATAAAAAAGAATTAATTGAAAGAAAAGAATAAAATAGTAAATGAAATAATAAAATAAAAAATATATATAAATGAGTTGCTGCAAAAAAAAACAGGGGGTGAATAATCAGATGTTTTGCAAGGCCCAACATCTCAAGCCCAGGCGTTTGCAAAAGGAAATGAGGGGGGGGGGGTGCAGTCCCGAGTTTGGCTAGGCCCAAGACAACTGAGTCCAGGAGCTTCGTTTGATCTAATATATCTGAATTCATGCGTCTATGCTTACATGTAAGACGTTAGATTCGCTCAAAACATCAATAGTAATAAGAATGCATGCATAAAACTAATTTAAATTACATGGTAAGAGAGTTTTACATTTAAAATTTTACCAAAAATTATGGGATGGTTATGAGGATGATCTGAGATGCTTAGGGGTTGAATTTGGACTCTGGAAGACTCCTGGGGATCTCAGGAATATATTAGTGCCTTAGTTTGGATTGATAGCGCCTAGAAGTGAAGTTACAAATTTTGCAACTTTTCTTTAATTTTTGAGAATTTTGAGAAGGCTCTTGTATGCAAGGAGTTCGTGGTTCATTGCTTCTAAATGTATTGTGTATTTATATAGTGAAATAGAAGGGTGAGGGTGAACCAATATGGAAGAAAATAATGCATTCATGGCTTATGAAACAAAAATCCAACACATTGAAAACTTGCCATCTTTGAGATATTGCTTGCCTCTTTTGAATTTGCACGAACCTGGACATATTATG